CATGTTTTTCCCAGGGATACCCAGGCTTTGACGACTGGTAGTTCAGGGGACCATTAGTGGGAAATATTGTTCCTTTGAAATCTACTGCCTTCTTCTTCTTCTCTATAATAATAATAATAATAATAATAATAATAATAATAATAATAATAATAATAATAATAATAATAATAATAATAATAATAATAATAATAATAATCATAATCATCATCATCATCATCATCATCATCATCATCATCAAGTCGGAAGGTACCTTGGAGGTCATCTAGTCCTGCTCAGGCAGGAAACCACATACCATTTCAGACAAATGGCTGTCCAGTCTCTTCTTAAAAACTTCAAGTGTTGGAGCATTCACAGCTTCTGGAGGCAGGTTGTTCCACTGGTTAATTGTTCTGTCAGGAAATTTCTCCTTATTTTTAGGTTGCTTCTCTCTTTGGTTAGTTTCCATCCATTGCTTCTTGTCCTGCCCTCAGGCACTTTGGAGAATAGCTTGACTTCTTTGTGGCAGCCCCTGAGATATTGGAACACTGCTATCCTGTCCCCCCTCCTCCTTCTCTTCGTTAGACTAGACATACCCAATTCCAGCAACCGTTCCTTATATGTTTTAGCCTCCAGTCCTCTGATCGTCTTTGTTGCTCTTCTCTGTACTCTTTCTAGAGTCTCTATGGTCATGCCAAAGACCATTGCCTGTTAGCAAGATCTTGGCATCAAAATGGAAGCCACTGGGTGCCTGATTTGTGGGTAGGTGTTTCATCTTTAAAAAGTAATTCCAGACATATTGAGAAGGGGCTGCTTCCCCTGAGTGTTAAATCTTCAAGCTGCATAGAGAGTGGGGACAGCTTACTCTTGTAAACAAACATTTCTAAGAACGAACACTCATCACAAACAAAGGTAAAGGACCAGATGGAAAGAACACAACTCTGAGTGGTCTCCACATATGTTTAGCAAGTCGCTGGGAGTTGGACATCAAATACATTTAAATAATTTTAGCAAATAAATTTTTGGGAACTGTCCTCCTGAATTTAATGGGGGTACTTGTAGTCAAGATGGTGGCCCTAACCACCATCTTGGTTGATTTAACAGTTAAAGCCCTGCCCTTCATGTACGTTGAGTCTCCCTTGAACCTGATGCTCTATAGATGTGTTGGACTTCAACTCCCAGAATTCCTTGCAAGCCCAGCCAATGGTATGTTGCCTGACCATTCTGGAGATGAAGTCCAACATCAAGTTGGAGAACTTTGCTTTGCATAAATGATTACCAAGGAAAAAAAGATAAGAGAAAATAAAATCTCTATAGAGGAAATCAAGATAGATTGGAAACCAAGAAAATTATCTCATTATTCCACCTCAGGAAGGAATGTATGTTTTAATATTTTAAAGACAATGACTTTTGCATTTGTTTAATGAGGCAGTTCATTCTGTTCTGACAATTAAAGAGTGTTGTGATTTGCTGGTGATCAGTCTTGCTCAATGAAAACCATATTAGCTGGCCAAAATTGAACTGTCTAAGCTAGTCAGATTTTCCAGTTTAATTTGAAAATGTCTATGGAGACTCTCAGTCATCCAGGTCATGGTTGTCCCAAAAGTGCTTTTTCAAGAGGCAACTGGACTTTCTTGTTTTTCTTTGAAGACGTTTCACTTCTCATCATCCAAGAAGCTTCTTCAGCTCTGACTGGATGGTGGGGAATGGAAGGATTTATATTCCTTGCAGACAGCTGGTCATTTGCATTCTTTTAGAGAGTCGTTGAGGCCACTTGGAGATTTGTCTCTTCAGGGTCACCTGAGTGGTGCAAATGGGTGTGGAGCCTTCTTGGAACTGCTGAAATGTGCAGCTGTGTTTTCTGCAGGATGTTTTCTGCCTTGTGTCCCTGCTGAAATGTGCAGCTGTGTTTTCTGCAGGATGTTGTCTGCCTTGTGTCCCTTCACTGTTGACGACAGGCGCAGGCTGTTGGGGATGAGTCTGTGTTGTCTGCATCTCAAACGGAAGAGCCAATGGTTCTTGTAGTCTTTAATTTGAAATGTTATATGGCCCTCTTGTGGCTAGACTAATTTGGTTGCACAATAACGTTGTTTTCATTCCTTCAGTCCTGGAAAGTCAAGGAGTATATATGGGCTTGGTGCACACAATACAGTTCAACACGCTAGGCCAGGGGTAGGCAACCTTGGCTCTTTTATGTTGTGGACTTCAACTCCCAGAATTCCTGAGCCAGCCAATTCTGGGAGTTGAAGTCCACGAGTCATAAAAGAGCCAAGGTTGCCTTTCCCTGCGCTAGGCTAACATGCTGTGTGTTGCCCGATTTCATTGGTTGTGCAAACCTGGACAGTTTAGTTAGTTCAGTGGTCCACACTTCAGTTAACCATGGATTAGCTAACATGTGCGAACATGGTGGCTTTGTTCTTAACCAGGATATAAAACAGTTCAGTTTATCTTTGGAAGAGTAATTCGATAATTTTCAAAACTATTATCGGCTTTTTAAAAAACTCCAAAAAGTGCTAAAAGAAACCAGCTACAAAAAGACTAACAAAAGATATAATTAATGATAAAAAAGAAAATGCAAAATTAATTGCAGCATTATCACCTCTACTTTACATACATTTTGAATATTAGATCTTCCATTATTTGCAAACAATATATTTTTTTTATATGGAACTTTTAGAACATTTCCCCAGCTTGTTAAGGGGAAAATTCAGGCTACTTAGACACAGATCGACAATCATAGCCAGTTGAATCAATGGGCTGCATTCACACAATACTCCACCCACAGATAGATAAAGCACTGTGGGGCGAGGGGCGTGGGTGAACCCCTCCCCCTTTGGATACACAACATTTCTTAGTCCATTGTGTAAACTCGGCCAAAATCGCAATCTGCAGCTTAGCAAAAGGGTCTTCTGCAACCAGGCGCCCTCCACTACTGCTGGACCATAATTCCCATCATCCCTCAGTTTGTGGGAAAAATCAGAATCATCTGGAAGGGACCCTGGAGGTCTTCTAGTCCAGCCCCATGCTCAACCAGAAGACCCTACACCAGTGTTTCTCAACCTGGGCAACTTTAAGATGGATGGACTTCAACTCCCAGAATTCCCCAGCCAGCTTTGCTGGCTGGGGAATTCTGGGAGTTGAAGTCCATCCATCTTAAAGTTGCCCAGGTTGAGAAACACTGCCCATTTCAGACAAGTGGCTGTCCAGTCTCTTCTTAAAAGTCTCCAGTGATGAAGCCCCCACAACTTCTGGTGGCAAGCCGTTCCACTGGCTAATTGTCCTCACTGTTGGGAAGTTTCTTCTTAATCCCACCTTGCTTCTCTCCTTTGATTAGTTTTCCCTTGGAAAACAAATAAAACAAATAATAAAAAATCAAAATAAAGGACAAGGAAGCCTCTCCCCACGCCACCGGCCGGCAGCATCTCCCCCCTCCACCGCATCTACACTGCTACCCTTCCTTCCTCAGTTTCCCTCCGGCGGCGGTCCAAGTTCAAAAGTTCCCACGCGCCCAACTTGGATGCCTTTTCCCCCTTTCATCTCCTTCAAGCTCCGCCCCAATGGAACGGGGCATCCCCGCTCAATTCCCCCCCTCCCCGAACGTTCTCACCGCGCCTCCTTGCTGCCTCCCGATAGGCTCCGACGCTTCGGGACTTCCCTTGTCCCAGCCAATCGCAGCTGCCCGGAGAGTGACGTCACCGGCTCCGCCGCGAAAGTTTGAAATTTACAACGAAGGGCGCTGGGCGGCGGCGGGATGGAGGAACCGAGCGGAGGGGAGCAAGGCGGGCCTGCCTGCCCAGAGGCTGAACCGCGGATGATCGCGGAGGAAGCGGCCGGGGAAGAGGAGAGGGAAGCTCGGCCAGAGTTGGAGCCGGAGCCGGAGCCGGAGCGAGAGGACCACCGGTTAACAGAAGCCGCCTTCCCCCCCGTACCGGCCGCCGGCAGCGCCCGGGAATTCTCGGAAGATCTTCATTCCGGTAAGCCTGGCTCGTCCTCCCTCTGGGCCGCCCGCCTCCCTTCCGAGCCTCCGTCTTCGCACGCCCCTGCTCGAACCTGGCCGCTAAATCCCGCTTTAATCCCGCTTTCCCGTTTGTTCTCTCTGGCTTTGGCTCCGGACGTTCCGTCGCTTAGTTAATTAAAAACTCCGGAAGTGGCTTTAATGTAGTAAATTGAACAATTATTAGAAGAACGATTTGTCTGCATAACTGCAATAATGATGTGTCTGCATAATTGCTAGAACAATGATGTAATGCAGAATCACTGGGAAAATTCACTGGGAAAGTTCTGTGTCAGTAATATGTGGCAACCAAATGCGCTTTGCACATGGATATGTAGCAAAACCTTCCATTGTATGCCTGTGAGAAACGCTCCTAATGTATCACAGTGTGTATTTCAATGTGTAGCCCTTTGTTCTTTAAGGAGGGGAGTATAAAAACTGAAGTCTAATCCCGCCCTCCTCGTTTCAGAATTGCCTATCTCTAATATGCCTCTGAACCTTGCGCAAATAAACCTCTGGAATTCGTAAGAGTTCTTTCATTTTCCACAAGAGCTTAACTGCAGAAGCGCAAAGCTGGAGAATAGCAAGTAGCGCTTGGATTGACACCCCGCCCCTCTGAGCAGTTTGCAATGTGGAAGCCTCGGTTGCCTCTGCCCCCCAACAATCTGGGTCCCCCTTTTACCGACCTCGGGAGGATGGAGGGCTGAGTCAGTCTGGAGCCCTGTCAGGAATAAACGCTAAATGCGGGCTAAACGTCTGACGGACGGTGCCACCAACTATAACAAGAGCAGTGGTTCTCAACCTTTTTAATGCCGCGACCCCAACCGGTCGTAAGTCGAGGACTAAACCGGTCGTAAGTCGAGGACTAAACCGGTCGTAAGTCGAGGACTACCCAACCGGTCGTAAGTCGAGGACTTTCCCTGCCCGGGAGCGCCGCGCATGCGTGGTTCCGCCCCCTGCGCCGGTCAAGGCGTAGCTGGCAAGCGGCAGAGACGGAGCAGGCCGACCACCAGCTGGCCCAGCCCAAGGGAGGTAAGGCACCCGCCGGAAAAGGGGGAAAAAATGGCGGACAAAAAAAATGGCGGACAGCCTTGCTTGGCGACCCCCATGAAATGGTCGATCGACCCCAAATGGGGTCCCGACCCACAGGTTGAGAACCACTGAACAAGAGTAATAAGTTGGGAAGACCTGGATGCCTATCAAGGCCCACATCAGTCAAAAGAAGTGGTAGCTGTGACTTCACATTGTTATGAAAATAATAGTAACAATAATAACAATAATAATAATAACAAATAACCCAAATTGTAAATAATATTTTTGTTTAAGGCTAAGATAGATATGGTATTTGGAAATTAATAAACCTAAAAACAGGGTTTGATTTACATCGATGAAAGGTTGTTGATAATTTCTATTGATTAATTGAATTCTTATTTAGGAATGTATTAATGAATTAATCTTTCCTAGAAATGTATTAGTTTGACTATACTATTCTAATTGTTAGAGAGGGAAATTTTAAGGAGCATTATTTGAGCTATATATGTATGATGTTATTGTACCTAACTGATTACCCTATCTCCACGTTGTTTCTTAAGCTTTCTGGTGTAAAAAGGGAAAAATCAATAAAATTGTTTGGAAAAAAATAATAATAATAACAAATAACAACAAAAGAACAACAAAAGAACAAACAACAAACAACAAAGAACCAACAACAACAATAATAGAAAGATTATGGCATAAATTGGGTGTGGTTCCCCAGTGGTTATTGGCACACTGGGTGCTATACCAAAAAGTCTTGGAGGGCAACTAAAAAATTGAGTATTGACAACATTTCTATCTATTACAAAACCCCACACTGCTTTGATACACACATACACTACGCGGATATATTACAACATGCTAGGGTCTTGGAAAGAATTTGATACATACTGCCAACAGTAGCTAAAGAACTGGCATTTCATGTTGTGTATATACTCATTTATACTATAATATTATAAAACAAGTAATACTTTTTGAAGTGATTTCAAATCAATGTTGATTCCTGATAACTGCCTAGACAGGTTACTGCAGTTTTCCTGGCAAGGTTTTTAGTTTAGTTTAGTTTAGTTTAGTTTAGTTTTATTGTATTTATATCCCGCCCTTCTCCTTGCGGACTCAGGGCGGCTAACAGCCTGATAAAACAAGTACAAAATACTAAAATACTATAGTTAAAAACATAATTAAAAGAAGATATTAATATTTGGCCTGTGTTAATTTAAAATTATTTTAAAACCCAACTAAAAATTTCCCCTAGGCCAGTCCTGCTAGCTGAAATAGCCATGTCTTGAGGGCGCGGCGGAAGGAAGGGAGATCAGGGATCACCCTGATCTCTGGGGGCAGCTCATTCCATAGGGTGGGAGCTCCCACCGAGAAGGCCCTCCCCCTGGGGGTCGCCAGCCGGCACTGTCTGGCCGACGGCACCCTGAGGAGACCCACCCTGTGGGAGCGTACTGGCCGATGGGAGGTAATTAGAGGTAGTTTGTTATTGCCTCCTTCCCAGGGCTGAGAAAGAAAGACTGGCCCAAGTGGCTTCAGGCCTAAGGTGGGACTGGAACTCTCCTGATATCTAGCCTGGTATCTTAACCACTATACCAAACTGACAGTAGTAATTCAGATAGTCCCCCTTTAGCGCCCATAATTGGGACTGACAGCCCGGTTGTTAATCAAATCAGTTGCTACACGAAACTGCCACGGTGCTTGTGATTTTCCTTCAGTTTTCCTTTGCTTTGTGGACCTGCGAAGATTCCAGTTGTGAAGACTGGTTGCAAAGTTGCTTTTTCATCACTGTGGTAATGGTGAATGGTGTCTAAACGAGGCAGCTGTCACTAAATGATAATACTAGCCATGATAGAATGTAAGGATTCTGCATGCACGTGTGAACCCTACTAAGAGGTGTCTTTTCCCTTTGCAACTAGACAAAGAGAATGAGAGTCAGTGCAGCGAGGACAGCAGCTGCAGTGACTATGGGAGCCACAACAGGCCCGGAACGACTTTGCAGAGGGTTGCGTCAGATGGAAAAACTCTTCTTCCAGACACCTTCCAGACGAACAACCTCCTGTTATATGAGAGATTCAAGACCTACCAGGATTACATGTTAGGTGAGTTTCCAGTGGCCTGGGCGCACCCATCTCTTATCTCGCTTACGACCAACAGGAAATAACTGCAGTTAAGTGAGCATCACGGTCGTTAAATGAATCAGGGTTCCCCATTGACTTTGCTTGTCAGAAGGTCGCAAAAGGGGGAATCACGTGAGCCCGGGACGCTGCAGCTGTCACAAATATGAGCCAGTTGGCAAGCGTCTGAATTTTGATCATGTGACCAGGGGGACGCAAGTGTGAAAAACAATCCTAGGTTACTTTTTTCAGTGTCGTTGCAACTTTGAATAGTCACTAAACAAATGGTGGTTAAGTCCAGATCTACTTCTATGGCAACTTTATTGACCTGTGGATTTTGGGGAGTTGAATTCCATAGGTCGTAAAGTTGCCATTGTTGCTCAGCCGAGACTTATATCATTGCAGAATTGGACCCCTTTGTATTTTTTTATTCTATTTATTTGCATGCCACCCCCTTGCAGAAGTGTTAGCTGTCCAGGTAATCCAGACGGGCCTTAGTAAGGCCACACTTGGAATACTGCATCCAGTTTTGGTCACCACGATGTAAAAAAGATGTTGAGACTCTAGAAAGAGTACAGAGAAGAGCAACAAAGATGATTAGGGGACTGGAGGCTAAAACATATAAGGAACGGCTGCTGGAATTGGGGATGTCTAACGAAGAGAAGGACGAGGGGGGACATGATAGCAGTCTTCCAATATCTCAGGGGTTTCCATAAAAAAGAGGGAGTCAAGCTATTCTCCAAAGCCCCTGAAGGCAGGACAAGAAGCAATGGGTGGAAACTCATCAAGGAGAGAAGCAACCTAGAACTAAGGAGAAACTTCCTGACAGTGAGAACAATTAACCAGTGGAACAACCTGCCTCCAGAAGCGGTGAATGCTCCAACACTGGAAGTTTTTAAGAAGAGACTGGACAGCCATCTGTCCGAAATGGTATAGGGTTACCTGCCTGAGCAGGGGGTTGGACTTGATGACCTCCAAGGTCCCTTCTAACATTATTATTATTATTATTATTATTATTATTATTATTATTATTATTATTATTATTATTATTATTATTATTACTACTACTACTACTACTACTACTATCATCATCATCATCATCATCATTATTTTATAAGGCTCAAACAATTGAACCTTGCAAGTGTCTTAAGTACAGATCTCCTGCCGTCTCTTTTTTACAGGAAAGCTCTTATGTTCCCATAATCCCATAACTTTTTAAAACGATCATTTTCAATATTTCCCCCCACATTGAGGTTTACAGCACATTTGGGAAACTTTGAAATTAAAACTTGTGCCCGGGGACTTGACGGATTAAAGCCGCGACAGTGTCATGACATTATTTATACTCTGATGATGATGATGATGACGGTGAGGAAGATCAGCATAACAGCAGCGCGGGCAAAAAAGCCGAAAACAAACATGTTGCTCCTGGTTTAATTTTTTTAGCTGACTGCAAAGCCTCGGAGGTGAAAGAATTTACAGCGGAGTATTTGGAAAAGGTCCTTGAACCCTCCGGATGGCAAGCAATCTGGTGCACTAATGCGTTTGAAGTCTTAGTTGAGGTAAGCATAACACAGTTATGCTATTTATTTGCCTGCTTTCAAGCCATGGAGTAGCTAATGGGTGATATTTTTTTTTTAAAAAAAGAAAGCTTTAATGGGTAAATGAGATCCTATCTGAAAAGCAAGCTGGTGCCGAAAGAGGTCCAAAGGTATCACGCCATGGGCAGCTGAAGGCAAAACGCTGTGTGCATGCACATGTCTAAATCTTTCCATGTACACATATACACATTTTTAACCCATGTTGGAGGGATGAATTTCGATCCTAGGAAAAGACTAGGCCAGTGGTGGCGAATCTATGGCACGGGTGCCAGAGGCGGCACTTGGAGCCATCTCTGTGGGCACACGTGCCATTACCCCAGCCTTGCCTCCCCCCACGACCCCCTCCTCACCAGCAGCCCCCCTGGAGGAGAGTCGCCCCTGAGCGTGGCCCACACGGAGCAGCGCAGCCAAGGAGATGGCAGCCAGGCAGCATAAACAAGACTCTGCCCTCATGCCCCATCCCGCACAGTTGATGCTGCGGGGCGCGGGCAGAGGGTGTGGCCACCATGGCGCTGCTGGACTGCCTGGGTGATCGGTGGGCCCTGGAGGCGGTGAGTGGCCCTGCAGGCAGGCGGGGTGGGGGATGGGGTGGGGGCGGGGCAGGGCAGGGCAGAGGGTGGAGCGTGGGTGGGGCCAGTTTTGGGGCACTCGGTCTCTAAAAGGTTCGCCATCACTGGACTAGGCAGACCCCTTGAGCTTTTAAAACCAGTGAATGTTTGAATTGCCGTCTTACTCGGACGGTCAGCCTCCCTAGATAGGCCAGGAACGAAAGACGAGGAGATGAGCTACTTCTACTTCTTAGTAAGGCTACGTTAACAGAATCTTGCAAGTCAGAAGTAGAATTCTCCCCACCCTCTCCTTTATACAGCCTGAGAAATTAGCATCTGCGTGTCCCTTCTGATCCTCTTTCTCCACTCGCTATGCAGCTTGGAGCTGTTTTTATTTATTTCTATCCTGCCTTTATTATGTTTGCTAAGAAGGCGGTGGACATGTTGAACACACCTTCCTCTTCCTGTTTTCCCCAGAACCACAACCCTGTGAAATTGGGCTGAAACCCAGCTTTCACGCCTAAGGGGGAAACTAGAACTCACCGTCTCCTGGTGATTGGCCCAAAGTCACCCAGCCAGCTTTCACGCCTAAGGTGGGACTAGAACTCACCATCTCCTGGTGATTGGCCCAAAGTCACCCAGATGGCAAAAGTAGAACTCACCGTCTCCTAGTGATCGGCCCAAAGTCACCCATCCAGCTTTCACGCCTAAGGAAAAACTAGAACTCACCGTCTCCTGGTGCTTGGCTCAAAGTCACCCAGCCGGCTTTCTTGCTTAAGGCGGGACTATAACTCACCATCTCCTGGTGATTGGCCCAAAGTCACCCAACTGGCTGTAATGCCTAAGGGGGACACTAGAACTCACCATCTCCTGGTGATTGGTCCAAAATCACCCAGATGGCCGAACTAGAACTCGCCATCCCCTTGTGATTGGCCCAAAGTCACCCAGCCAGCTTTCACACCTAAAGCAGGACTGGAACTCACAAATATGCTCTCATTTGCCCTCTCTTATCTGATCGTGGCTAAACTGCAATTCCCGTCACCTTTTAAGTTTGACTGGGATTGCTGGGAACTGTAGCTTAACCATATCTGGGGTGCTTTAGTTTCTCCCCAGGGGCTTCCTTCTCTTCCGCTCAAATCTAGTCCTGCCCACTGACAGAGAAGTTGTTACAAATGAGATTTTGCGTTCTTTTAGGGCGAGTTTCTTTCCCGGGGGGGTGGGATGGGATGGGGAGGGAGAGAAAGAAAATAATTCACTGCTGCTTTCTTGTTTTCCTAATTTTCCAGGTTGCCGACGTAGACTTTGCTTCCCTGAAAGCTGCGGTGCGGCTTTCCCAGCCTTTTCGGTGCAGGGTGCAGGAGGGGGGCTTCACCTCGGAGCAGGTGTGCGCTCTGTTGGAACGGAAGGAGTACCAGCTGCCTCTGCAGGAACTGTCCGTCGTGTTTGAGGAATCGGGAGAATTTGACCAGACGGCCCTTGCAATGGAGCACGTCAGGTAGACTGTGCTGGCCTAGGGGAGAGATGGCTCAGTTTCACGTTTCCGATGACAGGCGGTCCTTGACTTACAACCATTGGTTTAGTGAATGCTCGAAGTGACAATGGCACTGGAAAAAAAACGACTTATGATGGTCACTGCCACAGCATCCCCACTGTCACTTGTTCACACTCTGAGCACTTGGCAATTCTCTCTGGCTGTGTAAACTGTTGGAGACTGTGTGGGCAGTGGCTTCTCCTTCCTCTCCTCTCCTTGTCTCATGGTTATAAGTAGATATTTTTATTTATTTGATATTTTATCTCACCCTTATTAGATTTTTATCCTGCAATAATAATAATAATAATAATAATAATAATAATAATAATAATAATAATAATAATAATAATAATAATAATAATAATAATATAACAACAACAACAACAAAACAAACAACAACAACAACAACAACAATAACAATAATAATAATAATAATAATAATAATAATAATAATAATAATAGAGTTGGAAAGGACGTTGGAGGTCATCTAGTCCAACCCCCTGCTCAGGCAGGAAACCCTATACCATTTCGGACAAATGGCTGCCCAGTCTCTTCTTAAAAACTTCCAGCGTTGGAGCATTCACCGCTTCTGGAGGCAGGTTGTTCCACTGGTTAATTGTTCTCACTGTCAGGAAGTTTCTCCTTAGTTCTAGGTTGCTTCTCTCCTTGATTAGTTTCCATCCGTTGCTTCTTGTCCTGCCTTCAGGTGCTTTGGGGAATAGCTTGACTCCCTCTTCTTTGGGGCAACCCCTGAGATATTGGAACCCTGCTATCATGTCACTTTATAAGTAACTCAAGGTGGAAACCTCCTATTTTCCCCACCAAAACAACCCTGTGAGGTTGGTTGGGCTGAAAGTGACTGGCCCAAAGTCACCCAACTGGTTTTCATGTCTATGGTGGGACTAGAACTCGCCATCTCCTGGTGACTGGCTCAAGGTCACGCAGCCGACTTTCATGCTTAAGGCAGGACTAGAATTCACAGTCTCCTGCTTTGTAGCCACTAGATCAAACTTCTTATCCACACAGGATGATGCAGAGAATTTAAAAATTTAATATTCAGATGAAACCAGAATTGTTCTGATTAGGACTTATGGATACTCAGTTAGGAAAGGTTTACACAATGTAGGATGTGGTTTAGAGCTGGGCTTAGGGCATTCTGTGAATTTACCGAGTAAGGTTGCAACTTACTCGGTAACCAACGATTCAGGAAAGCCCGGGCTTCATGTAACATGTAACAGAGCCGTGGTGGCGCTGTGGTTAGAATACAGTATTGCAGGCTGCCTCTGCAAACCGCCGGCAGTTCGATTCTCACCAGCTCCAAGTTTTACTCGGCCTTCCATCCTTCCGAGGTCGGTAAAATGAGGACCCAGATTGATGACTCTTTAAACCGCTTAGTGCTAAATACTGTGTGAACCAAATCCATATTTTGCATCTGTCCTGCCTTGTGAATTGCGAGGTCTCTTAGCTCATTGTTTTTGGATCGGCAGGTTTTTCTATAAGCACATTTGGCGGAGCTGGGATGAAGAAGATGATGACGACTTTGACTACTTTGTCCGATGCGTGGAGCCTCGCCTGCGTTTGTAAGTACTGCAGACAGAATTATATTTTTTAAGCCTGTGTGACATGGAATTATGCCTATACCAGGGGTAGGCAACCTTGGCTCTTTTATGACTCGTGGACTTCAACTCCCAGAATTCCTGAGGCAGCCATGCTGAGGGGAAAGGGAGAGGTTTCTAAGCTGAGCCATGCTGGGTCAGGAATTCTGGGACTTGAAGTCCACAAGTCATGAAGGGGCCATAATTCCCCCATGCTGGGTCAGGAATTCTGGGAGTTGAAGTCCACGAGTCATAAAAGAGCCAAGGTTGCCTACCCTTGGCCTATGGCATGGGTTGCTAAGCCCCCCCCCCCCAGCCTGCTTGCAATTACTGAATGTATTTGGCACCCAAAGGTTAGCTGTTGGTTTGGCTAGATTGCAAACCGTGAGAGAGATGCTGAGAAAAGACACACAGCTGATCCTCACTCAGTGACTGTTCGTTCAGCGATCATTCAGAGTTATGACGGTGCTAATAGTAAGAAAAAAAAAACTAACAAGAAAATGACTTACTCGCAGCGTCCCCGTGGTGATTGCGTCGCGCGATCGCAATCGGGGTGCTGGACGACCCGTTTGCACGTATATGACATTCATAGCTTTCTGTGGTGTGATTGCCGTTTGTGACATCAAAAAAAAAGAGAAAAGATAAGAAAGAAAAATAGTTTTTGTTGTGTCTGATTCTTGGAGACTGCCTGTCCAAGCCTTCCTGTGATGCCTTGCTGAGTGGTTGCACCACTTAATGATGGCTTTTCTAGCCCCTGTCGCGTCGTAAGTCGAGAACTACCTATGGGACAAAACTCAACAAAAGACTGGACAAGGTTCCTTCACCGTTGGCAGAAGAGTAGTGAGTGGAGCCGACAGGGAAAATTTGAGGAATTCTTTTCCTCCTTCTGCATTCTGTATTTCGAGAATTAAACGGTTTTATTGATATTTTCGGCCTGAACACCCAGCCACAAGATTCCGGAAGAGAATTCCTGAACACAAGATTCCGGAAGAGAATGCAGGGGTATTTTGGGCTCTGTCTGAGGCATTGCACCCATCTACCACTAGATGGCAGCACACAACTGATTGTAAATATTGTAAATATTGTAAAAAATCAGCCGGGTTAGAATATACTCAAACCGTTACAGCCCCCATCCGCTACCTTGATCCCTCTGGAAAATCCTTATGTGTTTGCTTGTTTCCCTTTTGGACATGTTCTTCTTTTTTTTTTGGTCAGGTTGGGTAGACTTTGTCTTGGTTTTATTTATTTATTTATTTTGCACATTCTGGGATGTTGGCAGTGGAGAGATTGTATCCCAGGGGTGCAAACCGCAGGCTGATTGATTGGAAGAAGCTGAAAAAAAAAACGATTGCTATCCCCAAACGAACGGGAGCCTGTCTCTCTCTCCACTGAATCCCAAAATGTGGGGATGCGTCTTGGCAGGGCAGAGCCAATGTCTTGCCGGCTTGTTGCTTGGCAACAGCACTGCAGAGGAAGCCTTGTTTTTTGTGGGTGGGTGTGGTGGGGGGACCGTTGTCCTCTTCAACGCCTCTCTTCCCAAGTGGCTCGTGTGGCCCGGGATCCCTACTTTTCTCCTTTAACCGAGGAATGTTTTGACACGGTCCTAAGCGAAATGGATTTTGTCTGCTTCCCGGGATGCTCTGCCAAGTCTCCAGAAGGACCTTGCTGGTTGAGCGCGAAAGGCCTTCTCGTTCCAGCTCTCCAGCCTTGTCTCCATCCCCTGCAGAAGAAAATTGAGATGCATTAGAGTTGCCGGCAAAGCAGAGCTGAAGGCAATCGTGCTTCCCTGCAATTGACACAAAAGATATTTATTGTGGATAAACAGTGGCAGATAGGAAATATGTCCTTTTCCACTTTCTCCCTCTCTCCCTCTTTCCTTCCCTCCCTCTCTCTCTCTCTCTCCTCTGAACGTTGCACAGCAGCAGTGTGTTCTCAGCCCTTCTGCCTTTCTGGAATGTTTCTTTCTGCTATCTTTAGGCAGCGCACCGCTGCAAAAAGACACGTTGCTTTTGGCAAAAGTGTGGCGCTAATTGATTGCAACGAGCTTTTTAAATCCAGCCAGAGGCTACAGGTTGTCCACTTCTGATCTACAATCCTTAGGCTGCTGCAAGGCACGGGTGTGCAAAGGTGCACTGGCTCGGAACGCCGAGGTTGCGTTAGCTCGCAGGCTTAATGGGGAACCTTTACTCTTGTTTTTTCCGTGAATCGGTCTAATCGCTCGTTAAAGCAGAGGCTCTTGGGGTGTGACGCCAATGCACGAAATGCAGGCAGTCCCTTGTTTAGTGGCTGCCTCGGAGAGTGACTGTTTGCCAAATGCGCTGATAATTAATGGTCACAAAAATATTCATTTTTCCAACCAAGGCCTGCACTGGCAGCAACAGCAACAAGCCTTCAGTGTGAAACTGATTAAAAACTGGTCAGTTTCAGGCAGCATCTGCTGGGTGGCTTCTACCGTGTTTCCCCCCCCCCAAATAAAACCGGGTCTTATATTAATGTTTGCTCCAAAAGACGCATTAAGGCTTATTTTCCATTTGGAGCTTATATTTGGGGAAATGCGGTACTAAATTAGTCCATCTGGCTGACGATCTTAACTGGGGCTTATTTTTGGGGTGGGGCTTATATTACGAGCGTCCTGCAAAATCATGCTAGAGCAGTGGTTCTCAACCTTTTTAATGCCGCGACCCCAACCGGTCGTAAGTCGAGGACTAAACCGGTCGTAAGTCGAGGACTAAACCGGTCATAAGTTGAGGACTAAACCGGTCGTAAGTCGAGGACTACCCAACCGGTTGTAAGTCAAGGACTTTCCCTGCCCGGGAGCACCGCGTATGCGTGGTTCCGCCCCCTGCGCCGGCCGAAGCGTAGCTGGCCAGCGGCAGAGACGGAGCAGGCCGACCACCAGCTGGCCCAGCCCAAGGGAGGTAAGGCACCCGCTGGAAAAGGGGAAAAAAATGGCGGACAAAAAAATGGCGGACAGCCTTGCTTGGCGACTCCCGTGAAATGGTCAATCGACCCCAAATGGGGTCGCGACCCATAGGTTGAGAACCGCTGTGCTAGAGTTTATTTTCCAGTTTAGTCTTAGTTTCGGGGAAAGCCGGCTGGGTGACTTTGGGTCAATCACCAGGAGACAGTGAGTTCTAGTCCCGCTTTAGGCATAAAAGCTGGCTAGGTGACTCTGGCCCAATAACCTCCTCTTAGTCCAACCCACCTCACAGGGTTGCTGTTTGAAAAAATAGGAGGAGAAACGTGTGTTGGATATGTTGTCTTCCTTGGGTCATTTGCAAAAGTAACAAAGGGGAGATCTAAATAAATCAAGTTGCAGGCTTTTTAAATTCAGGTTTTGCTGCACAGGACGTCAGGGATTTTTGCCACGCAAGTATTGTTCCGTCCTCCAATCGCTCCCGCCATTCGGAATTTTAGGTATTATGACATCGTTGAAGACCGTGTCTCGCCAACTCTGGTGTCAGACTACCACAGCCACCTCTCTCAGTGCGAGGAGCTCTATGGCAAGTTCCAAGTCCTCAGGAACAGCCACCTGGCCTGCGTTTCTGACTCCGAAAAGGACAACGTCTCCGTGGTGGAAGGGATGAAACTCTACGACCAGATCGAGCACTTGAAACAGAAGCTGAAAATGATTGAAAGCCTCCTGTTCAGGTAAAGCAAATATTTCATGGTTTAAAGCTCTGGAACAAAGGATTTGCGTTGCCTGCGGAATCCAATGCAAAGTGGACTGTTTCCCCTGCCCCCCCCAGTCCCCCCCTGCCCCGGCCGCCTGGTTTAAATTCTTTTGTGGAATAATTTTGTTTGCTTACCTCGGTCTCGGGGCCAAAGCAGATTATAGGTTAAATATTTGATGGCAGTTAATGGATTTACTTTTTTTTATTTTTCTGTTAACAATGGCTGCCTCAGGAAAACAGAGGGAAATCAGAAGTGTGCCGCCTCTGATTTTAAAAGCCATTATTGCAAATGTTGGGAGTTACTGTAACAGAATAACAGAGTTGGAAGGGACCTTGGAGGTCATCTAGTCCAACCCCCTGCTTAAGCAGGAGACCTTATGCCATTTCAGACAAACGCCTGTCTACTCTCTTCTTAAAAACCTCCAGTGTAAGAGCACCTATAATTTCTGGAGGCAGGTTGTTCCACTGATTAATTGTTCTCACTGTCAGGAAGTTTCTCCTCAGTTCCAGGTTGCTTCTCTCCTTGGTCAGTTTCCATCCGTTGCTTCTTGTCCTGCCTTCAGGTGCTTTGGAGAATAGCTTGACTCCCTCTTCTTTGTAGGAGCCCCTGAGATATTGGAACACTGCTATCATGTCCCCCCCTGTCCTTCTCTTCATTAAACTAGACATACCCAATTCCTGCAACCAACTGTATCAGAATGCAAAGCAGATTTCTGACTTTTTGACAGGAAACATCAATTATACCATAAGCCAGGGGGTCCAACCTTGACAACTTTAAGACTTGTGGACTTCAATTGCCAGATTTCTCCCACTTTCTAGCCTAGTATATTAACCACTAGACCAGGGGTAGTCAACCTTGGCTCTTTTATGACTCGTGGACTTCAACTCCCAGAATTCCTAAGCCAGCACAGCTCAGCTTGGAAACTCTCCCTTTCCCCTCAGCATGGCTGGCTCAGGAATTCTGGGAGTTGAAGTCCACGAGTCATAAAAGAGCCCAGGTTGCCTATCCCTGCACTAGACCAAACTGTCTCTCCTTACCTACCTGCTTGTTTGTTTGTTTTTTGTTTGTTCTAGATACGTCTTTGGTTATAAGAAGCACGCTAGCCTCAAAGCAAAAGGACTCCGTTCCTCTAACGCCACCATCACCCACGTTGTCTGTTCTACAGTCCAGTCGAGTTTCTTGCAATGCCTGTTCAGGGACAAACTTACTCCGGAACATTTCAATGAAGAAATTGAAATCCAGGTTGGCTTTGTTAAATTATTTCTGGATAGGTCAGTGTCTTCCCTTCTCTTTAGAGGCTCAAGGTTGGCTAGATAGCACTTCCTGGGGTTCTTTTTACAGTGGCCGTCAAGCTCATTTACGGTTCTTAACCAGCCAGGGATAGCGAAGCCAAACACAGCTAAAACACGAGAAGTAAGAGGAAACTAAAAAAATAAAAAAGAGCTGACACACTAAAGAGTGTTGACCTGGACTTAGGGGACAGTGAATACGTGCAGATGGCCCCACTCTCTCTGGCCACTTGCAGACCCATGAATGCAAGGTCATGAAAGGACAGCAAAGGAAACACCCAATATCCTAACCCACCCGGGAACATGTGGTGCCTTGGGGAAACACCCAAACCACCCAAAAGGGAACATTTTTAGCTACTTCTGCTTTCTTCCTTCTTATCTACCAGCCTTAAAGGACGAAGTCTCTATCTCAGTGATGGCGAACCTTTTAGAGACCGAGTGCCCCAAAACTGCCCCCCTGTCCTCGCTCCGCCCTGCCCACTGGGCCACCCACCACCTCCACGGCCTGCCACAGATCACCCAGACAGCCCAGTAGCATCATGGCGGCCACACCCTCCGCCCGTCCCTCGCAGCATCATCTGCGTGCAACGGGGCGCAAGGGTGGAGTCTTGTTCCCCCTGCCCAGCTACCATGTCCTTGGGTGCGCTGCTTCGTGTGGGCCGTGCCCAGGGGCGACTCTCCTCTGGGGGGGGCTCCTGGTATGGGGCCGTGGGAGAAGGTGGGGCTGGGGAGGCGGTGTGTGTGCCCACAGAGAGGGCTCCGAGTGCCACCTCTGGCACCCGTGCCATAGGTTCGCCACCACTGCTCTATCTTATGTGTGCTGGATGAATTGCTTTAGGTATAAAAAATAAGGCCTTTTTCGATATTTGGGGCTTTTCTCTTTTTAGGGAAGCCCGTCTTTGCTCAGCTGAATAAAACACGTAACTCTTGAAGGCAACTTCTGGCTTCCTGTATTTTTTTATCAAGCGAAACCTTCAGAACCTGCATATCAAGAGGGAGAAAAATGATGGCATTCAGCTGTAAAGAAGAAGGTAAAGGAATTAATTGTGACTCATCACTGGGTCCTCCTAGGCCTCAGATTGAATCCTGACTTATGACTGCCATCTTAAGATGTTCAGCAACTACGGAGTGAGCGATCTGAATGGTTTTAAATACTTGGTAGCTACTCTGCTAGGCCAGAGTGTTTTCCACACAACATCTGGTCTTCTTCATTCCCTATCTCACATGGTTGCTGAAATGCAGGACAGATGGTCCTTGACTTGCCACCACAATTGGGCCCAAAGTTTCTGGTGCTAAGCGAGACATTTGTTAAGTGCGTTTTGCCCCATTTTTACAACCTTGCTTGCCACAGTTGCTAAGGGAATTGCCGCAGTTGTAAAAGGGGGCAAAAAATTCAAATTACTAACTCCGTAGTTGCTGAGCAGCTGAAGATGACAGTAATAAGCCATGACTAAATTGGAGGGCTAGGAGGACCAAGTGATGAGTCCCAATTAATTCTTTTACTCTCCTTTCACAGTTGTGAAGTGAATCTGGTTTCCCCATCGACTTTGCTTGTCAGAAGGTTGCAAAAGGGGATCACGTGACCCCGGGACGCTGCAACCGTCATGCGTACATGCCAGTTGCCAAGCATCTGGATTTTGATCCCGTGACCACAGGGATTCGGCAATGGCCATATGTGTTGAAAACAACATAAGTCAGTGCCATTGTAACTTTAAACGGTCACTATATGAGTGGGTGTAAATTGAGGACTGCAAAATCACCCACGCCTTTTTGTAAGTTTTTGGCGTGGGTTCCAGACCTTGCTAATCTTCCTAGCTGGAATTTTAAACGGTTTCTGTTGTTTTATCCTGTTTTTATTTGGTTGCACGCTACCCGGAGTTGTTTTTAAGAGGGGCGGCCATATCAACATTTTAAATAAATAATTACTTTTTAACGTGGCAACGATTGGATGAAATGAAACGAACCGGGGATAGTCTTATCTGAAGTGTATTAACTTCCATCTCATCCTGAATCCAAATTCATTTCTTGGTTGGTTTTTCCTGTCTGCTTGTTCTGCTTTTTGACAGGCATTGCCCCAGTTCTCCAGCTCTCCTTACTCTGTATGTTCTTTCTTAGTTCCACAACGATCCACAGTCTGCTTTGAATGCTTGCTACGAAGGAGACAGAGTAATAATTTGTCCTGGCCATTACATTATTGAAGGAGCATTGTCTGTCGCTGATTCTGTTACACTAGAAGGTGAGTATTTCGGTCTATTTTTTAAAATTTCCCCCTTAAAGAGAGAGAAACCCCTTCTTCCTGGATGGGAGAATTACCGCAGCACAGATATTCAGAATAACAGAGTTGGAAGGGACCTTGGAGGTCTTCTAGTCCAACCCCCTGCTCCAGCAGGAAACCCTGTACAATTTCAGACAAATGGGTGTCTTATCTCTTTTTAAAAAGCTTCAGTGATGGAGCACCTACAACTTCTGGAGGCAAATCTTTCCACTGGTTGATTGTTCTCACCATCAGGAAGTTTCTCCTTAGTTCTAGGTTGGTTCTCTCCTTGATGAGTTTCCATCTGTTGCTTCTTGTCCTGCCCTCAGGGGCTTTGGAGAACAGGTTGACCCCCTCTTCTTTGTAGCAGCTCCTCAAGTATAGGAACACTGCTTTCATGTCACCACTAGTCCTTCTTTTTTAGATTAGACATACCCAATTCTTGCAACCATTCTTCTTATGTTTTAGCCTCCCGTCCCCTAATCATCTTTGTTGCTCTGCTCTGCACTCTTTCCAGAGTCTCAACATCTGTGGTGACCAAAACTGGATGCAATATTCCAAGTGTGGTCTTACCAAGGCATTATAAGATGGTCCTATTCCTATGATTTGTGCAGTAACTACACCAGGTGTTAAATTTTCACCTCTCTCATTCATCTCTCTCTGGTGGATGACCCGTTTGAATTCAAATGTATATACCTGAATCTATGTTCCTATATATTTTAAAATGAAAGATAAAATTGAACAAGAACTATAATGAAGGAATAAAAAAAAGGAGAGATAGGAAAAAATAAGAGAAGAAAAGTGCAGGAAGCAAAGAAAAGAAAGGTAAATAAACAAATTCAGATATTCTTTTACGGCAATTCTAAGTATAAATGTAAATTAACCTCTTAGGCTTGGTGGTCTGTTTGAATTCCTAAATGATGTTTTTATTTTAATACCATAGTGCAGAGATTTTGGAGATTCTGAATGCAAACTGGGATAAAACTTTTTTTTTTTTATATATAAAGATTTTATTGTTTTTTTTTTCATAAACATGTGTTAATTTTTCCAATCAACAAGTTGTCTGGAGTTTGCTATGCTAATACATGTTAAATTCCTAATCCTTCATTCTTTCCTCTAGCCAACAATAAAATAGGTCCCAAATTTGATAATAGTCTGTATATTCTTTATCTTTCAACCTCATAGTTAATCTGTCCATCTCTGCACATTCCAATATTTTCCTGATTATTTCTTCTTCTGATGGCAGTCCTTCATTCTTCCAGTATTGTGCAAAAATTATTCTTGCTGCTGTGGTGATGTGTAAGATTAAATATAATTTCTGCTTATTAGTCTTTTCAGGCATAATACCTAGTAAAAAAAAAGTTCAGGTTTAAAATCCACTTGTTCACCCAACATTTTTCCTCTCCACATCTTTCTCCAATAGACCTTTGCCTGACCACATGTCCACCAAATGTGATAGTACGTGCCTATGTTATGTTTACATTTCCAACATCTATCTGACATATTTTTAAACATTTTTGCTAATCTTGCTGGCGGCAGGTGCCATCTATAAAACATTTTATACAGATTTTCTTTATATGAAGTTGGTAAAACTCTTAACTCCGAGGCCCATTCTGTGCAGATCAAACTTTTTAATATTATCAAACTCCTTTTTTTCCTAGCCTTCCATATTCTGTTATTGAATTGGCAGCACCAATTGTATATAATTAATTGTCTAGCAAATCTGAAGGTGTATTTCCTTGATGAGCACCTGAAGTGTTGCTTAATTGCTGTTTTTTTTTTTTTAAAAAATCCCTGTTTTCTTTCTTAAAAATAAATCCAAATCAGGGAACAATTTAAAAAAAATGAGAATAAATTAAAAAGCGAGGGTTTAAAATTTATTGTAAGCTAAGGAACACATTCCGTAAAAACATTCGGGCCAGGAGGTTAAATGAGTTCTGCCGGATGATTGGATTCATTGTTGATTATTTCTCTTGTAAGATGGGAATTATTTTTTTCAGCCTTGGATGTTTGTTATCTGAATTGTTGGTTTAATTTTCATTTTTGGTTTTACTTTTCCTACATTGCTGGGAGATGGATGGCCGCCTAAATGGTGTAGCCAAACAAATAAAAACATATAAAAAGGATGTGCTGATTATCAACAACAGCTCAAAGTCTGTAATACAGAGAGAATTCCAAATGAGATAAAAAAAGCAGCTTAACCAGTGTTTCGATGATTAGATGATCTTAAGTAAATGCCAAAAAAGGGCCAAAATTAATGAACAGGGAGAGAATTCTACAACTGGGTTTCTTGTATCAAGAATGCTTATTTATAGATTCTCACACCACAAAATATTGTGTAGATTCTAGACCACAGAGAGCTTTCCAGTAACCCTGTGCAGTGTTTCAAAACTGAAGGCAAAAAAAGCTTCAGATCCTGGATGTGCGGGTAGCTTTTATCTGTCCTTAACCCAGATGTGGCCTTTCAGCGCAGCTGCAGTCTTCCTGGAAAGGACCTAGCTGCTTTAAAGAGCTGCAGACAGAGGCGGCATTTGTAGAGCATCTTCAACGAATCACAAAAGGAGATGTGTGCGGTGATACCATTGCACTAACACCACTCATAAGCAAATGTCATTTACTCATGCTTTGGGTGTGCGTGCGCATGTGTGCCCCCAAGCACATTACAGCTACCGGTAATTCTCGACTTAAGACCGTTTGTTTAACAACGTTTGAAGTTACCACTTATGACCGTTGCGGTGTTTCCGCAGTCACAGGATCCCAATCCAGGCATTTGGCAATGCATTTACAACACTTGCTGTGTCCCGGGCTCTCCGTTTGTGACTTTCCTAGCCCACTTCCAACAAGCAGAGTCAATGGGAAAAGATGGATTGACTTAATGACTGCATGACGCATTAAGCGACCGTTGTGATTTGCTTAATCACTGTGACAAAAGGCTGTAAAATCAGTCTCAGCTCACTTACTGACCACCTTGCTTAGCAACAGGGGTTTCGGTCCGATTTGTGGTCATATGTCGAGACTACCTGTGTGCTGTTGAACCCAAAAGGTGAAGGGGTCATGGCACTCTCTGAGCTTGGTTGTTTCCTTGCAGACGTTTCGTTACCCAGCTAGGCACCATCATCAGTGTTAACCTATCCATTTATTACTTCTTGGGTAGGGATTTCTTTTCTTTTCCATTTCTGAGCATAGGCTAGTCTCGCTGCAGTTAGAATGTGCAGTATTAAGTATAAAGATCCTTTGCTGAATTTCTCCTTGGTGATCCCTAATAAAAAAAGTTTCTGGTTTTAATTTGAGGCCTGCCATTCATTGTTAACATAACAGGCATGTCTATTGCTCTCCTAGATTCTCCCGGCTTTGTTGAAGGCTCATTCTTCATCTTGTCAAAACTTCCTAATAGAAAAAGAGCTGAGGTGTTTTTTTTTAATTTCCTGCTTTTTTGGGGGTTCTAATTTCCCCTCCCTTCTCTGTGTCAGTCATCTTATCTTTTCTTTTCTTTTCTTTTCTTTTCTTTTCTTTTCTTTTCTTTTCTTTCTTTCTTTTCTTTCTTTCTTTCTTTTTTTTTTCTTTCTTTCTTTCTTTCTTTCTTTCTTTCTTCTTCTTCTTCTTCTTCTTCTTCTTCTTCTTCTTCTTCTTCTTCTTCTTCTTCTTCTTCTTCTTCTTCTTCTTCTTCTTCTTCTTCTTCTTCTTCTTCTTCTTCTTCTTCTTCTTCTTCTCCTTCTCCTTCTCCTTCTCCTTCTCCTTCTCCTTCTTCTTCTTTTTTCTACTTCTTTTACATTGTTGGTTTTTACGACGATTTTCTTGCTTCCCCCCCTCTCCGGTTCCTCCTCTCAAACACTGGATTTATGCAGATATCCACGCCAGCCTGCCTTGCCGAACCCCCTGCAGGAAGATGAAGTTGCAATTATTTTCATTTCTCGGTAGGGGTGAGGATAAGCCGGTTTGGGCACACGAGGTGATCTTTGTGACAAATCGCTTCCCGTCGGAGAGGTCAGGCAAATGGGATCAAGCCTGGTCTATTCAAAGTGCGGTAGACCGGCCTTCAGCCTGAAGCTCTTCAGCAGGGGGTCTTCAAACTTGGCCCTTTTATGACTTGTGGACTTCAACTCCCAGAATTCCTCAGCCAGGCACACGTGCCTGGCTGAGGAATTCTGGGAGTTGAAGTCCACAAGTCATAAAAGGGCCAAGTTTGAAGACCCCCTGCTCTTCAGGAACAAAGCCTGGGTCAAGTCAATTCGCAGAGTGGATGCGGTGATTGATCAAGAGTCAGGAAGTCTCCCTGCCTGTCAACGGAGCCCCTTTTGAGAATCAGGAAAGCCGAAGCAGCCCAGCGATGCTTTGAAGGGTGGAGGCACCTCACCGTCAGGATTAATGATGCAGGAGGTATAATTGCAAAGAAGGCCCAACGAGAGAGAATTGTTGCAGCTTGTCAGGATGAAGTTGGGGGTACGCCTTGCTTTTTTTTAAGGAGGAAGGGTAGGCTGCTAGTACCGAACCAGAATCAGAATATAAGCTGGAAGGGACCTTGGAGGTCTTCTAGTCCAGCCTCCTGCTCAAGCAGGAGGACCTATACCAGTGGTGGCGAACCTATGGCACGGGTGCCAGAGATGGCACTCAGAGCCCTCTCTGTGGGCACGCGCGCCGTGGCCCCAGTCCTAAGCCTTCAGCTGGGTTTTATAAAACCTTTTTGCTTTAGGCCTCTGCCGCCGTGTGCAAAAAAAAAAAAAAAGGTTCAATCAGTCAATTTCAACTTCTCGCGGGAAAAAAAAAGATCTCGCAATGTTGAAATTGATTGATTGAACTTTTTAGTCCCACCCAGTCTGCCGTTACCACTGCAGCCACGCCCACCCAATGGGCCACGGCCAGCCAATGGGCCACACCCACCCGGCACTCGACGATGCATAAGTGGGTTTGGGGTTGCAGTTTGGGCACTCGGTCTCTAAAAGGTTCGCCATCACTGACCTATACCATTTCAGACAAGTGGCTGTCTAGGCTATGCAAAATTAATTAAGCTTCTTACAAGGCACCTAGAACACTTTTTCTTCTTCTTCAAGTTGACAGCTTTATCACGCATCTCTTCATTCGACCCATCTCTTGAGTTTGGAGATGCTTTAAAAAAAAAAAAGCAGAAAAAAATAAATGCCATGACGCTGATGGTATCTCTATTCCCTGGTTGCCATGTCGTTATGCTCGTGACAGGCCATAAAAGCTTTACATGCTCATAAATTTCTTTAAGTGATTTGGAGTAAACAATAGCGGATAACTGAGTTAACTTAGCCTTGGTCTTAAAAAAAAAAAAAGCAGTTGTTTTAAAGACTTACCTAAGTGTGAGGAAACCGCAGACCTTTCCTTTTAAATGATGTAGAGGTTTATAAATAGGAGATCTGAATCATGATGTGGGACGACAATGGGATCAAATAGATGCTCTGTCATGACAAAACATTCCTTTCTGTCCATTTTAACATAATGAAAAGAAAAATGAAAAGTCCCAAACTGGAAGGACTAGTGTGGTCTCCCATCGCATAACATCCACATGTTTATTTATTAAACTTATATGCTGCCCAATTCATCTAGAAGCTTACAACCAGTTAAAAACAACACGATAAAACAGTAAAACAATAAATATTAACACTAAAATTGCCTTAAAAATTAACAAAGGTGGGGAGGAAAGGAGCAAAACACACACAGGGAGAAGATGGGGGTCTTACCTCAATCTATTGGGCACCTCCAGGATGACATGGCCCCAGGACAATTAGTAGAGTCAGATGTTCAGGCCATTTCTGAAGGCCAAGATGGCAGGTGAGGATCCCCCCTTGGGGGTAGGTTGTTCCAGAGAATAGGAGCCACAGCACAGAAAAGGATCTTCTCCTGGACCACTGCCAGCCCAAATTCCTTGACCAATGGTTAGCAACTTGCCCCTTTTGCTAGCATGGGTGGGATGGGCCAATCCTGTTGAGGTGAGACAGTTCCTCAGATAACATTGAAATTAACAACCAGGAGACTGGCTACTCACAAGCAATCTTAGTTGCTTGCTTATTGCTGCCTTCTAAATGGGGAGTATTACAAGTCCTTTGAATGTCCAGCATTTTGGACTTGGAGCCAAGAAGGTGCTTTAGAGTGGACAAGGTAGGCATGTCATTCCTCTGGTGCTTCTTTAAAGAAGGGATGTGTCTTCTCCTGGTCCTGCCAATGGGTCATACAATCCTAGGAAAACACATGTTTGAGGTAAGGAGATTCCAGCAACATACCCACGATGTCTCAGAAGGGTCTTATCATAGTCTGTTGGCACTACCTTATTTATGTTTCCCTGGGATTGCACAGCCATTGAGTGAGGCCAGGAAAAGAGGCTGCTTCTTTAAAAGGTATCTTTCCACAGCTCATCCTACCTCCTTTGTTTGGAGGGATTACCGAGGAATTTATCTTTAAGCCGGTGTGTACCTTTCAAGGTGTACTGCGTTATAGTTGGAGATGGTGTGAGCCGTACCTGGGCACATCTGGAGAATATCAATTTGAGAAAAGCTAATTCAAGAGACATGAAGCCATTTTATCATTCCTAAGTGGTACATAACGGTACTTCTCTTAAAACAACGCTTTAAGTAGATAAGGGATGCTGCACAGATTAGGAAGGGTTACTTGTTTAATCAAGAATACGGCTTCCAATAAATTTTGAATACTGCTTCCTGAAAAAAATAAATAGACATCAACTTCTTTAAAATCGAGTCATTTTGTGTGATGCCCTACCACGAGTTTGGACATATGAGACCGCTGAATATAGCAAACTGATGTTTATAATGCAGATGCGTAGAATTATGATTCAAACCATAGTCAATATGTTTTTCTAGAACAGTGCAAAGATCAACGGTCAGTGTTTAGAATAATTCCTGGCTGTTCAGCATGATCCGATTGTAGAACTAGAGAAAATGTTATTTCTATCCGACATAAACATGGGATGAGGCGGAGAGAGTATTTCTCTATGGAAGGATCTACTTTGGAGATCTAATAACCTACCAAAAGATAATCACTCTTTTTTTTTTTTTTGGTGCAAAGGCTATGGACTGCCGGATGACATCGTGATAGAAAAGCAAGGGAAGGTACATGCTTTCGTGGAATGTGCCGGAAAGGATGTGAAAATTTCTAACCTGAAGCTTATCCAACATGATGCGGTGAAAGGCATTTTGAGTGAGTTTCTTGACTTCCCGAGTGAAATGAGGCATCTGCAACCAATGGATGTTCCAAGATGCACTGCTGGGACTGATAGCAATAGCCCTTAGACTTGTATACCGCTTCATAATGTCTTCATAATCCCAAGGCATCTAAGCATAGCATATAACAATGACATTCCCAGCCCCAGCCCCCACCCCGAGGTCCAAATCACTCACGTGAACAAATCCTCTTTGTTATGAGAATTGTCTGGTATCTTCTCCACACTTGCTAGAACAGTGATGGCGAACCTTTTAGAGACCGAGTGCCCAAATTGCAACCCCAAACCCACTTATTAATCGTCAAGTGCCGGGTGGGTGTGGCCCATTGGGTGGGCGTGGCTGCGGTGGTAACGGCAGACTGGGTGGGACTAAAAAGTTCAATCAATCAATTCCAACTTTGCAAGAACTTTTTTTTCCCCGCGAGAAGTTGAAATTGACTGATTGATTGAACCTTTTTTTTTTTTGCACATGGCAGCAGAGGCCTAAAGCGAAAAGATTTTATAAAACCCAGCTGAAGGCCTAGGACTGGGGCGACGGCGCGCGTGCCCACAGAGAGGGCTCTGAGTGCTGCCTCTGGCACCCGTGCCATAGGTTCGCCACCACTGTGCTAGAATGTCCTTGAAAGGTTTCCAAGCAGATTTCTCTCAGCAAACTTCCAAAGAACTGGAAAGGTTTCGTTTCTCTAACTAACCCAGTCGAAACCATCATTTCCTCCTGCCCCCCCTTTATCTAATGGCAAGATGAAAACAAAGAGGCACGTAGCTGCAAAACCTTCACTCTTGACAAAGTCTTTATAGCCTCTCTAAGGGGTTTGCAGAGTCAGCCTCTTGCCCCCAGCCATCTGGCTCCTCATTTTTTGCCAACCTTGTATGGATGGAAGGTTGAGTCAACCTTGAGGCTGTCAGGATCGAACTCTGGGCAGTGAGCAGAGTCAGCCTGCAATACTGCTTTCTAACCACTGCGCCACCACGGGTCTATTACAAGGTGTTGTCTTCTGCTGGCTAACCTATGACAGAAGCCATCAGGAGAGAATAGCGCACAAGCAGTACTCCCTGGCACCCTTAAACTGGTTGCTGACCTCTCTAGTAAATTTAATACACTGAGTCTAGCATGTTGTAGAAATGCATTTGCTAGGTTTAAAAACAACAAAAAAAAAAAACCTGGACTAGTTGTCTGAACACTGTCTTTGTTTTTTTATATTCAGAGAAATATTCCAATGGTGGACAATATATTTAACTCGGAGTTGAACTGTGGAGTCTTTGATGTTCTCTGAGCTTGGCTGTTTGTTTGCAACCAAGTACTCATGATGTTACCTACGCAGGTAGCGAAACACCTGAAAGCAACAACAAAGTTCAGAGGAGACCAAGAACTCCACAGAGAAATAGATTTGAGGATCCCATCCTTTGGGTAACACCCTGCTTCTTGATTATAATATTCAGAATTAACCGCTTTAGGGTATTCATTGTTCTAATGTTATTGTATTCCCTTTCCCCATTCATTTCTTTCCATGTTAATAACCCATATTGATTTGATGTGTCTGGCTAAAAGTTTCTTTAAAGACTTTGTTTCCTAATGGGGACCTGCCATCTCTCCTGTCCTCTTTTCTCCCTCCCTCCCTCCGAATTTGATGAATTTTCGTTAGCTATGTCCCTCTGCCTTTTGAAGAAGGTGATAATTAACACTTCATCATCTGAGATGTGGATTTGAATAACAAATGCTCCATGGGCTAGCAAGATTATTTCAGCACCTTTTATGTGAAAATATATTCACTCACCAAAAAAAAAATAAAATTGGGGAGAGGGTGCTTGAGCCACTCTTGAAGAAAGCTATTAATTGCTTGTCCCTAATATATTCTTTAAAAGAGTAAATTTATACATTGTGTCCTTTTCAAAAAAAAATAAGTGTTTAATATAAGCTTCTGCATTTTGATGCAAGAAAATCAGAACTGGCCTAAAACGTCTAGAAATGCTTCTAAATTCTCAAGAGTTCCTTTCTTCGTCTTGGTTTCATCCAAAGTGTCGGGCAACACACCTCACGCAGGTTAAGGATCTGGGGAGTACTAACCCAACAGTTCAAAGATTTATTATTTTTTATAACTGACTTGTTTAGAATAACTCTGCTCTGTTTCTTCAGACGAGACTTCTGAGAGCCCGTGTGTTGATTGCTACTTTTATCATCAAGAAATGATTGCGCTCATTGATTTTTAATCAAAGCGTGTGTCATCCACAAAAGAACCTGCCTACCAGCTTGTGCAACTCAAAATGCACCTGGGGCTTTGTGTTTTGAGATCAATGGATGGTTGTGTTTGTGCAAATCAGCCTCTGCTAACTTAAGAATGAGCCTGACAAAGTTGTTGAGCTCAAAAACATTTTGGAATTCCTTGTTTATGCTCACCGGGAAGTTTTGTCTCTTTAAGTCTTGATTGTGAGCCCACAGATTCAAGAGCACAATATTTTTGCAGGTGTTCATCAAGGAAGGACCACTCTGGAAAACTGTGTGTTGCAGTGTGAAACAACTGGAGTTGCCATCTGGACATCTGCCGAGTTCTTAATGAAGAACTCTGACTTGTATGGATCTAAGGTAGGAACAGACGTTGGCATTCGTTGGTTGTCCTCTTTCCCAGAGCATCAAAGAGCTTCTATGGAACCATTGCTGTAGATGACATCTCTGTCAAAAGAAGCTGGATTGATCACAAATAAAGTGTTCAAATAAAGCTACATGGGTTGCCAATACCAGCAATAGCACATTGCAAGAGCTGGTAGAAGTCCAAGAATGGACCTCATGATAGCTCTGTGCATGTTTGTTGAGAAATAGCTCTTGCTATGTTCAGAAGGTCTTAGCTACTTGTGATGTAGCCATAGATTTGAACAAACTAGAGCGAATAGCTGACTCTTCCGCTACAGGTCATCCTGGACTTAGGACCAGTTGTTTAGCAGCTGTTTGAAATTATGATAAACTCCTCAAACATTACTTCATCACGATGTAAAAAAGATGTTGAGACTCTAAAAAAAGTGGTCTCTTCTCGTTGTTTCTACTAGTCCCCTGGCCTCCGATTTTGTATATTCCTTGCCAACAACCCTAACCCATACAGATCAGATTACTTCTCTTCCTGCTCCCCACTGTATCCGTTACAAGGTTATAAACTCCCCGACGGGGTTTCTTCTCCCTCAGTTCGATAAGAGGTTTCGCGGACTTCCGTCCTGTTCTTCGTTGAGATGAAAACTAATCAAGGAGAGAAGCAACCTAGAACTAAGGAGAAACTTCCTGACAGTTAGCACAATTAACCAGTGAAAGAACCCGCCTCCAGAAGCTGTGGGTGCTCCAACACTGGAAATTTTTAAGAAGAAACTGGACAGCCATTTGTCTGAAATGGTATAGGGTTTCCTGCCTGAGCAGGGGGTTGGACTCGATGACCTGCAAGGTCACATGGCTGCATTTCAGGGGCTTGGCAAGCGGCCGACATTTATGGCTGTTTGCAGTGTCCCATGGTCACATAACTGTCACGTACAATGTTTTTGCCAAACAAAATGGCGTTTATTTCTGCCCCGTAGCGAACAATGGGTTCACTCAACAACCGGAACTTTTGCTTTATGACTGTGGCATTTGCTTAATGACTGCTGCAAAAGTTGTAAAATAGGATCTGGTCACAAACATCACGATTTACGGCCGTAATGGGGAGGTTCCATTGCGGTCCTAAGTCGGGGGATTTCCTCTGCTTGAACCTTTTTGTAGTTTTCCACGCTGTTTGCTACATTTGCCGCCTCTTGCCATCCATTTGACTGATTTTTTTTTATTGAAGGCAGCTTTCACTAGAGAAGTTTCCAGCAATCACCCTGCAATTACTGCCCAGTTCAGACCAAGTTAGCATCTTCATTGCTATTGTCTCTTGTGTGTCTATGGAGATTCTCAGTCATCCAGATCATGGTTGTCCCAAGGGTGATTCTTTCAAGAGGCAACTGGACTTTCTTGGTTTTTCCTTGAAGACGCTTTGCTTCTCATCCACGAAGCTTCTTCAGTTCTGAAGAACTGAAGAAGCTTCTTGGATGAGAAGCGAAACATCTTCTGAAGAACTGAAGAAGCTTCTTGGATGAGAAGCGAAACATCTTCTGAAGAACTGAAGAAGCTTCTTGGATGAGAAGCAAAACGTCTTGTGAAGAACTAAAGAAGTTTCTTGGATGAGAAGCAAAATGTCTTCTGAAGAAGGGAAGAAGCTTCTTGGATGAGAAGCGAAACATCTTCTGAAGAACTGAAGAAGCTTCTTGGATGAGAAGCGAAACGTCTTCTGAAGAACTGAAGAAGCTTCTTGGATGAGAAGCAAAACGTCTTCTGAAGAACTGAAGAAGCTTCTTGGATGAGAAGCGAAACATCTTCTGAAGAACTGAAGAAGCTTCTTGGATGAGAAGCGAAACATCTTCTGAAGAACTGAAGAAGCTTCTTGGATGAGAAGCGAAAGGTCTTCAAGGAAAAACAAGAAGGTCCAGTTGCCTCTTGAAAAAGCACCTTTGGGACACGGTCTCTCCTATTTTTGACCTGCTTCTTAACCACTTCTTCTTCTCGAGGAGGTTTAAAGTCCCACGACCCTAACTTTAGATGGGTCCGTCGTGGACGTGAAACTAACCCTTACCCGATGTGGTAACATTTCTTCCCTAGGAATAGTTCCACACAAGAGCGAACCTTCAATTCATGGTTACAAACTCAGGCAACAACTTTGCCTAACAAATCGATAAGGTTAAAAAGACCAAATTGTCAGAAAAGCCCCCAGGATTTTTTTTTTTAATTAAAAAAAGCACAAAGGAGTGCAAATGGAAGCGTAGCAAAGTGGTTCTTTCTCAAACGACCAGTGTCATTGTGTTTTGCTCGTTTTGTGGAGTAGAATCTTTCTCACAAAAGAAAGTTGGTGTTTTTTTCATCCTATAGTAACCCTTTACAGTGCCCTCAGTTGTATTACTTCTGCACCAGAGGGACCCTACTGGGAAGTGTTGCAAAAACTGAGGTGCTTTTTCAAGAGGCAATTGAAACTTCTTGTTTTTTGCTTGAAGACATTTTGCTTCTCATTCAACACTGGGCGCTATCTAACAAAATGAAATTCAGTGGTGAAAAAAGTAAGGTTCTACATTTAGGCAAGAAAAACCAAGTGTACAGGTATAGTATAGGGGGTACCTTGCTCAATAGTAGTAACTGTGAGAGGGACCTCGGAGTCCTAGTGGACAATCACTTAAATATGGGCCAGCAGTGTGCTGCAGCTGCCAAAAAGGCCAACACAGTGCTGGGCTGCATTAACAGAGGGATAGAATCAAGATCATGTGAAGTGTTAATACCACTTTACAATCCCTTGGTAAGGCCACACTTGGAATACTGCATCCAGTTTTGGTCACCGCGATGTAAAAAAGATGTTGAGACTCTAGAAAGAGAAGAGCAACAAAGATGATTAGGGGGCTGGAGGCTAAAACATAAGGAACAGTTGCTGGAATTGGGTATGTCTAGTTTAACGAAGAGAAGGACGAGGGGGGACATGATAGCAGTGTTCCAGTATCTCAGGGGCTGCCACAAAGAAGAGGGAGTCAGGCTATTCTCCAAAGCGCCTGAAGGCAGGACAAGAAGCAACGTGTGGAAACTAAGCAAGGAGAGAAGCAACCTAGAACTAAGGAGAAATTTCCTGACAGTTAGAACAATTAACCAGTGGAACAACCTGCCTCCAGAAGCGGTGAATGCTCCAACACTGGAAGTTTTTAAGAAGAGACTGGACAGCCATTTGACCGAAATGGTATAGGGTTTCCTGCCTGAGCAGAGGGTTGGACCAGATGACCTCCAAGGTCCCTTCCAACTATTATTATTATTATTATTATTATTATTATTATTATTATTATTATTATTATTATTATTATTATTATTATTATTATTATTATTAGAATTGTTGTAAAATTAGATGAATGAGAATTGAAAAAAGCACTCTGTTTCTTTATCTACATTAAAAGCAGGGAAAAAACCCCCACTGGTAGGAAGATATATTTTTTTATTGGGTTATTTGCCTGTGAGGTCAAGACAATGCATTCGGTGGATCTCTCCTCCATTTATCCTCACTGTAGACTTGAAGGTAAGTTGGGCTGAGAGAGAGAGAGAGAGAAATTGTCCCAAGGTCACCCAATAATCTCCATGATCAAGGTAGGATTAGATCATGGACCTCTTCTGTCCAGGTTTGGTAAAACCACGATCGCACAGTACCCGCAAAGCGGATTAGGAAATTAGGAAGTTGATTCCAGACGCTGATTTCTGTAGCTCTGCTTAACATCTGGATGGCAGATGTTGGCAGGATGGTGAATGGCCTAGCTTTTGTTATTGCTTCTTTCCGCTCCATTGCGAGTCGTTATACGTGGGCCTTCAGCTTTCCATCTGCAAATAAGTTGAAAAGGCGTCTCCTTAGAACTGTTGAGCTGGGTAGATCTCATGCAACTCTCTCTCGACTTTTAGAACTTTTTGGATGACCATTGTGATGTTCCCAAGATAACCATGAAGAACAATGTGATACACAATAATGAAGGCTACGGTGTGGTGCTGGTGAAACCTAAAGAGGCTACTGAGATCGCGCCAGAAAGCACGTCAGGTATGATTTTATAGATGTTATTTATAGTACTGGCCAATGAGTGGCCTCATGGCCTAGAGGCAGAACTCTCGCCATACAATCAGGAGGCAGGCTGTGAATTCAATCCCAGGTAGCAGCAGATACTTCTCTCTCTGGGTGCAAAAGGCAAATATCTGCTGTCAAATATCTCCATACAGGTGTCAGGAAGGGCATCTGGCCAGCAAATGCTCAGCTCCATTCAGTCGCTTTGACTCCACCCTGATTCAAGGGATTGTTAAAAGAAAAAAATATATTACAGTACAGGCAAATCCATCAGCATTACCATGAAGCTTGCAGAAAGGGCATGGTGCAGGCTACAGGTTGCAATGTAGCCTAAGCCAGTGTTTTCATACTGCAGCAGTTGGATTCCCCCAATGCACTAAGTAGGAACTAACCAAACCCTCTTATGGCCTCGTCCGATGCATGAATCCATTGTAGATTAAGTCAATCCTGGACTGACTGACTCCAATAAGCTGTGAAATCAATTTGGTGTCACTCTTTCTGATTTAGAGCAAACGAAAGAGAGCACGTCTGCTGACGGTGCCACCACTGAGAACTGTGAAGGTCTTCATGAATTGGGTAGCAGTGAAGTGGGCCTTTATGGAAGAGACAATGACGACGATCACGGAGAAGGCAATCTTCAGATTTCAGAGGAGATTTGGGCCGCCTTGCTGAAGAAGAACCAGCTGTGCCAAAAGAGACGGAGCCAGCTGGATATCCCAGAGGCAGACAGCCAGATGTCTCAGGAGATGTTCGTGTCCATCATGGGCAACCAGTTCCAGCGTAATGGGAAGGGGTGTTTTGGAACTTTCCTTTACTGACTTTCTGAATTGCATTATAAAGCCAACAAGATCACCAGCAGCTAAGCACGGATGCCTTCCAGAATAGCTAAAACTCAAGATCTTGACTCTTGCTTTTTAAAATTTTTTTTTAAATCTGGTTATACTCCCTGCTTCCCTGTGTTCCTCGTGTATCCTTTTCAGCAGTGCGTGTGTGTGTGCTTCGCAGCAGTGAAAGTCATATGTTGCCTAGAGTGAGTCTTGAAGCCATAACTTGAGAGTTGAAAGCTCTCCGATTGAGTCTCCTGAACAGAGAAGCTTCATCCTTACTGGGTTTGTGTATCAATTTATAGTTACACTATTTATATCTAAAATCAATCACCCTGTTTTAAAAATGAAATAAAGCTCTGTATATTTAAAGGGAGACTGTTGACACTGCCCTTCTACCTCGTGATGCAGGTAACATGAACGTTCGGTTTTTTTGAGCCATGGCTGTGTGTCATTTTCAGCTACATTGAGTAAACCTTTCTATTTAGCAAAATTGTCCTCTTGTATCTTTTTGGCAACAGAAATAAGCTTTTGAATTTTATCTCTGTGTTGCCTATATTTGGGGAATGCAGGTTTTTTGGGGGGGGAGAAAATAATGGGATATTGTCTTTTGCTCTGAAATCCATTTCTAGTTGTGACCAGAACGGTTTGAAATTTTATCCACCTCTATTGCTAAGGCTGAGCGCAAAAGAATTGAGGCCTTTGAACTCTGGTGCTGGAGAAGACTCCTGTGAGTCCCCTGGACTGGAAGGCGATCAAACCGATCAGTCCTAGAGGAGATCAACCCTGACTGCTTTTTAGAAGGCCAGATCCTGAAGTTGAAACTCAAGTACTTTGGCCACCTAATGAGAAGGAAGGACTCACTGGAGAAGAGCCTAATGCTGGGAAAGATTGAGGGCAATAGAAGGAGGGGATGACAGAGAATGAGGTGGCTGGATGGAGTCACTGAAGCAGCAGGCGTGAGCTTCAATGGACTCCAGAAGATGGTAGAGGATAGGAAGGCCTGGAGGAACATTGTCCATGGGGTCACGATGGGTCGGACATGACTTCGCAACTAACAACAATTGCTAAATTGAGAAGTTCAGGAGGGCATGTGCGAAAGGCGTGGTTTGGTTTGAACGCGTGCTTCGAAAGATCTGCAGAACCTTTTTAGGCCAAAGATCTGCAGAGCCTTTGTGGTTCAGAAGAATCAAATTATGGAATATTTTGATGGTTTTAGGTTCAACCAAATCAGCATCCAAATGGGTCCTTATGGTTGACTGTGAGAAATAGGATGTGCCTTGCATCTCTTCCCTGTGCTTCATAAAAAAAGGTAAATGTTCCCCCTGTCCAGTTTTGTACAGCTCTAAGGGGCGGTCCTCATCTCCATTTCCAGCTGAGGGAGCCAGCCTTGTCTGAAGATGCTTCTCTGGTTGCGTGGCTGGCATGACTCTACTCCAAGGTGCGCAGAACGGTGCTACTGTCATGTGTCTGAGTAACGAAACACTTAAAAGGACTTTCAGGCATGTTTTCTCCTAAAAGCATTTATTAATGTTACAGCCACATCAGCACAGCATGGGGGAATGCTTAGGACTGGCTTCTTTTCCGCTATGCATGTAATTCTAAACATTTCCCTCCCACCTTACAGTATTTGCAGCGTTGACAGCTACCATCCCACCGAAGTGGTACCTATTTATCTACTTGGTACCTATTGCTGGTCTATGACCGTAATAAAGTTATTATTATTATTATTATCTACTTGCACTTGCATGTTTTCAAACTGCTAGGTTCGCAGGAGCTGAGCCAAGAATCGGAGCTCACCCTATCACACGGTATGTGGGTCATTGCACTCCCTTTTGTTCTTCATAGGGATGCCAATTGCTGTTGGGTTTTTTGGGGGGCATTCTCTGTATGTTTTCCTTTAGACTTTTTATTACCAGGCTAACTAACACCATCAGTGTATGGCAGGGGTGAAGTTTGTTGGTTTACTGTATATATAATAGCTTGTCTTGCCAGTCTTGGTTGAGTTGAGGCTTGTTGTTTCTTGCTCATTGCTAAGAAGGATGTACTCTGGGCTGCATAATAATAATAATAATAATAATAATAATAATAATAATAATAATAATAATAATAATAATAATAATAATAATAATAATAATAATAATAATAATAATAATAATAGTTATTGAACACCATTGGCATTGACAAATTCGCTATTAGTCAATTGCAAAAGGCAGCCTTACTAGGAACTGCTTCCATCCTGCGACGATATCTGTAATA